CCCCGCCCCGCCCCGCCCCCCCAGGAGGCCCGGCCAGGCCCATGGCCACCCCCCCCCCCTGCCGCTGCGCCCCAGCGCCTGCCCCACTCTCGCAACACGCCCACCAGTGTGGCTCTAGAACAGGCGCAAAGGCATAGGGGAAAGAAATAAAAACAGCGCTGGTTGGTCACAGGTCAGCTGGCCCCGGCCCCGGTGGCCCAGCCTCCACCACGGCGCTGGAAAAAAAGGACCCGCAACAGCAGCGGCGTCGAGCAGGCGCACCTGCACCAGCGAGAGTCTCAATTGGCACACGCTCTCCTGTGCGACCCTCCTCGGGAGGGGGAGCTTTCCGCCAGGCGGTCCGGAGGGCGGGGGGGCGGGGGTGATGACTGGCCAGCATCGGGCTGGCCCTGGCACCCCCCCCCCTCGGTGGGGGACCCGCGCCCTCCGGGGGGCCTCGGAGGCATCGGGGACAAGGGGGGGGGGGGGTGCCGGAGAGAGGTGTGCTCCGCACATTCGGCGAAGAGCACAGAGTATTGCGCACACTGGGCCAGGGTCTGGGCGCTCGCTCCGGGCACTCACTTCCGACCTTGGCAGCTGGGACGCAGATGCCAAGGGCCGAGAAGCGAGGGCTCGGTCGAACAAAGGCGCGCCCGGCAGCATACAGGCTTGAGCCGCATTTCGGCCGGGTGCTGATGTGTCCTCCGGGTCCAAAGAAAAACCCTTTTAAAAGAAAACAAATATACGCCTGACTTACAAGCCCCTTTCACAGATCGGCTGGTTCCGACCTGTTTCCATTTCCTGCCAGGTGTGCGCACCTGGGCTACGTGGTCTCTCTCTCTCTCTCGGCGCACGGGGAGGCCTCCAGCGCTCTGGGCCTGCAGCGACGAGACCCCCCCCCGCTCCCTCTCCCCCCGTCCACCCAGACGCGGGCGGTCCTTGGCCCAAGGATCCCGGTGGACCCTCTTGTTCGGGGGGGGGGGGGGGGACGGGGGAGTCCTCTGGATGCAGGCACATCCACCTTCCGGGGGCTATCCAACTCCATCGGCCGATTTCTTCAACCTCGGGATACTCCAGGCCCAATAGCACTCGGGGCCCGAGGCAGACGTCCGCCTGCTCCGGGACCGCTCCCAGGGCGTCGTGCCGTTGACCTGGCGAGCCCGTCCGTGCAGGACCCGAGCGGCCTTGGCACCCGCGTACGCCGCGCCCCAGCAGGCAGCGCCCCGCGCCCTCATCCGGGCCCGGAAGCGGCACGGCGTGCCCACCCACATTTTTAGATGTTGTTGTTTATTGAGGGAGGTGGGGGGGGGGGGGGGGGTGGGTCTGGGTGCCGAGAACATATGCGCACGGGCCTTTTTGGCAGCAGCCTGTAGCTCGGCATGAGTGAGCGAGTGTGAGCACGCACAGGGAGTAGCCCTCCTTGCCCCCAGTCTTGCTGCCCTGAAATAAAAACTCTGGTATACAGGGACAATCAAGATACAAGCACACAGACACAGACACACGGTGGAAATGGGGTACGGGGATGTGCGAACGCGAGTGACCGGACAGGCATAGCCTGTGTGCCGGCTCCCGCGCGCAAGCAGCTCGACCCTAGGTTCAAAAATGGCCAAGGAGCAGCAACGGGGGGGGGGCTCCCTGCCCCCTCGAGAATCCACCCGTCGTCCCCCCCCCCCCCCGCAGACACAGAAGAAAAAGCGCCCCGTCCGTTTGCGGCCAGGGTTGGCTTACTTCCAGCGGGAGGTGAGGTACTCGAGCTTCACATGATCCATGGAACGCTTGATCACGTTGATGTCCGACTCAATCGCGACCAGCCTGGTATGGTGAAAAACTGATCAGTATGCCGTTTGGATGCGGGATTTGTGGCTCAAAAATGTTCCTCCCGTCCCCGTCGAGGCCGGGCCCGATCGGGCGAAGCGCAGGACAGGGCGGCCCCAAGGACCTGGCTGTGTTGGGGGGGGGGGGGAGAGGGGAAGCGAAACAAACCGGCGACGAGACGCACCGCTCGGTATCCAGGCCGGCCTTGTTGTAGAGCTTGGCCTTGCGGGAAGAGGTGCTGACATGGTGCAGAGCCTCGTAGGTGTAGTCCTTGCGCGAGCCGAGGTAGAAAATGTAGCCCATGATGCCGGTACCTTTTTTTTTTTTTTTTTCGTTGGGAACGAAGAGGGGCAGGTAAGACGGGTGCCAGACACAAGGCGAGCAGGATGTGAGGGTGGATCCGGGGGGGGGGGGGAGAGAGGGAGGGGGGATGGCACGCGAGGCGGCATCGTGGCGTACCAAAGGTCAGGAAGTAGGCAATCGGCTCCATCACATCCCAGGAGAGGTCCCACCAGGTGAGACGCATCATAGCGCCCCACTGGACGACGATGAAGGCCAGACCAGCCTTAACCAGGCGGTCCGAGAACTGCGCCAGCCAGTCCCGGAAGGGGGAGGAGGGGCACACCGGGTCAATGCCTCGGGCGCAACGAGGGCAACCAAAAGGATGGGATGGAGCACAGGGGGGCGGCATGGCAAAGGGATACATACCTTCTGGGCACGCTGGTCACAAAGATCCTTGATCTCGAGCAGGGGGGCACGCTCGGCGATCAGCTCGGCAAGAAGCTTCTCAGCATCGCGGGTCCGGTCTGTTGGGCACATGTTTTTGGGCCACCACATTGCGGGGAGAGTAAGTACGAATGCAACATGTGGCCACCTAGCAAGAGGGCCCCAGCCCCCAAGTACGTACGCGCAAGGGTCGGCAGGTTGAGGTGCAGCTCCGGCGCGTCGGGCTTGTCAGTCAGGGGACGAATGGTCACCGCGCCGTCGGTCCCTGGGCCGAGGACATCTTTTGAGGCGGCAGGAACAGTCAGTACGGGAGGCCACAGGGCGGACGTGGTGGGAGAGCCTATTCTGCGTACCAGCCAACACCGAGGCGCGACTGATCCGGTTGCCATGGGCATCGAAGGCGCCCAGGGTGACTCGCTGGTTTTCAGCCTCCAGAGCAGCGAGAAGCGAGTCGACCTGGGAGGCGAGTGGGGGGATTAGCCGGGGTTCAGTGTGGCAAGGTGTGTCACGGAGGAGCAGAGGGCCAGGGCAAGATGAAGAGGACCGGGAGAGAGAGGGGAGGGAGGAGGAGGAGGAGGGGGGGGGGGGAGGCAAAGGGGCAGGGGCGGCACAGACAAGAAGGGGAGAAGACGCACAGGCCGGTGGACATCGATGTGGATGTGGAGGTTGCGGTCCTTGGTGTTGTTGTCGACTGCGGCGGCAGCAGCTCCGCCGACAAACTGCCGGGGAACGGTGATGCGCCCACGGGAGGAGAAGAGAGTCCCCACAACCGAGCCGACACGCGGATCCTGCAGGGGGGCCTTGTCAAGACGCGAATAGTCCGGGATCTGCGCCTCATTGCAGGCAAACTCGACTGTAGTGTCTGGGTGTACACATGTGCCAGGGTGAGTAAGGACGTGTGTACTGCGAGTGTGCATGTGCGTGTGTGTGTGTGTGTGTGTGTGTGTGTGTGTGTGCGTGTGCGTGGCCAATCGGAACAGGTGGGCGACGAGAGGAGATGTATGCCGGGCGTACTCAGGATGTTGGGTGTGGCAACAGCCTTGGCCGCGGGGACAGCAGCCGAAGCAGCGGCACTGACCGCGGTTTTGGCGGTCGAGGAAAACAGGCGCCGCGAGAGGAAAGCGGCCGAAAGCATATTGGGAAAAGGAGGGGAGGGCGAGCGAGAGAGGCGCAGGCAATGGAAGGGAAAACAGCGGGGAGGCCCGGTGGCTCGGGTCATTGGCACCACCGCGTGAGGTGGGCTCCTTTTGCTGGGCGTGCCTGGGTGGCAACGGTCGTTTCGCTCGTCTCCCGGTCGTCGCAAGATCTCCCAGTTGGTGTGTAGGCCCGGGGGGGGGGGGGGGGCGACCTCCGTGAATGGAGCTCAGTCCCAAGAGATCGGACGGGGGAAAATGTCTCCGATACCACCCGCATACCTTTGCTCCCGTTGGTCCTTGATGCTGGCCGTTTCTCAACGCAAAGGCGGGCGCAACAGTCGGGGCGGCGGGGGGGGGAACCCCGTGCCGATCCGATGGCCGGCCCCGAGGGGAGGGACGATGCAGGGGCTCGCCCCCCCCCCCCCCCCCCCCGCCGGCCCCTGCCCCGCCATCCAATGCTGGCGGTCTTCTCCAATGTGTACAGGAGGGCCGCCCCGACGAAATGGCCCCCCAACCTGCGGCCGTTCCTCATGCACCGCGGGAGCGGGGGCTTGCCCAGCTCGGACATCCGGCGTCGGGGTGTTGGCGCCCGGCCAGAAGTCTCATACCATTTCCCACAGTGCCCTTTGGGCCGAAAAAAAAAAGGCAAAGATAAAGGGGCGGGCAGAGGGCGGGACACGACCGGTGGCAGTGGATATTGCACACGGAGGTCTCTGTGAAAATGTATTCGGTCATCACATGAACAGGATGTGGGTGTGCCTTTCTTTGCCCGCGCAAGCACGAATGCACTCGCACAACGGGAAGGAGAGCGGCTCTCCCCGACACGGGCCCGCGGTTTCAGAATTTGAACTCCCGATCCGGTCGGTCGGTGGCCCAGGCGAAGCGCTCGCGTACGGTCTTGGGGAAAACCTTGTCCAGCGGCACGCCGTGGCGCAGACTCCAGGCCACCGTCACCCGCGGATCCAGGTAGTTGGCCTTACTGGTGCTGAGAGATGCATGGCGGCCTTCCATCTTGGTGGCCACATCCAGGCGGATGCGCTCGATTTTTTGATTCAATGGAATGGCCACCTTGACAAAGTCCTCCAGCGTGGCCTCGGGTCCAGGGAGACCGATGGCGCCGAGATCCTCTTCCGTGCCAGGCTCTGCCGGTGCCGGGGAGGGGGTTTCCTTGGAGGGGGTATTCTCCCGGCGCTGGGCCTCCTCCCGAAGCAGGGCCTCGGCTCGGGGAACATCGGCATCGGTGAAGTCCTCCTCCGGGCGTTGGAGGTATTTGTCGATGCGCGCACGGACGCCCACCTGCTCGTAGGCCAGAAGGCGCAGACGCCGGCGCCGGTAGCGCAGCACCAGCAGCTGATCCACCTGCCGCTGTAGGGCCAAATCCATGGCTTTGGGCACGGTACGCTGGTGGTTACACAAGATCGCTGCCTCGCGGTTGGCTTGGCTGTAGGCCAGCACCAGTTCCGCCACGGTAGGCTCCCGCCGAGATGCCCGACTTTGTGACAGAAGCTCTTGCGTGTTTTTCTCCAACTCCCGCTCGAAGGTGGTTGTGGCGTTGAATGTGCGGAAGACCTTGGCCGTGAGCCCGGGGAGGTAGGTGGAGAGTTTGGTGTTGATGATGGCCGGCTAGATTGAGTGGGTTGATTTCCCAAGCAGTGGGGGAGGGGGGAGGTTAGAAGGTTACCAGCGGGGGGAGGGGAGCAGGCAAATAGCAGAGGGAGCAGAGAATGGCGAGTGGTTGCAGTGGGGTACGCCATGGGGTCGCGCATGTGTGCCCCGGGGTCGGTGGAGGGGGCAGAGTGGGAGAGGGAAGGGCAAAGGGCACGTCATAGACGCCCTGACACAAGCAAGGCGCACCGTCAGGGTCTCAAAAAGCAGATCCCCAGGCCCCTTGGGACCCTTTTTCGTCGGGGTGGTCATGAACTCCTGGAGATTTTGGAAGACACGCGGAGTGACGGTCACCTCGTTGAAGTAGCGCATGGAGTCCTTGCCAAGGAAGTCCAGCACCACCGTGGCCGGCGCCCGAAGGGTAACATGCTCAAGACGCAGTGAGCAACAGCCCACCGTGTCGGCCTGCTCCTCGGTGTCCTTTTCCGCACCCACACGCAGAGCCAGCCGATCGATGAAGTAGAGGGCGGTCGAGCGCTGGCGCTTGGAATAGTCCGATGCCCGAAGCTCCCGAGTGTAGGATTTCCGGATGCGATCGATGTGCGCCCCGAGCCCCCGGGCAAAGTCGTACTTCGTCAGGTCGTTGCGACCGCGCACCGAGGACTTTTGCGCAAGCCAGACATACTTCAGCGTGCCGGTCATGTTCTCGGTCCAGGCGGCAAGCCACGAGACATTCGGGTTGTGAATCACCTTGCCCCAACTATGAAGCAGAAGCCGGATGGAGGAAGCGTGTCAGCGGTGACAGGCAAAGGGGCGGTCGGAAATGCGGAGGGGAGACAGGAGGAGGGAGGGGCAAAAAAAAAGAGAGAGAGAGGAACAAAGGCAGCCGCAACAGCAGCACGATCCAAAGCTTGTCCCGGAGAGACAACATACCGATGGCCAACGGGCGGCGGTGGCACAGGCACCCCTTCGCTGATGTTGATGATGACCTGTTCCGGGTAGATGCGTCGCTTGAGGGTGCCAGTGCGTGGGTGGTTGCCGCGGCCCTTGAACAGCCCAGGAGCCTCGATGCGGAAGTTCCCCACCGGCTCGCGCTGGCCATTCAGCAGGCACCAGCCGTAGGTTTCGGCCTCGACATCGCGACGCTCGCGCTCGCGGGCCCGGTCCTCGGGGCTTCGCGTGGCCCGCGCCTGGCGCTCGGCCATCACATGCTGATGGATGCGTGAAAAGTCACACAGATCGAACTGAGAGATGGGATACTTCCGCTGGAGGACCTCCTCCGAGTCCCGAAGGACGGTCAGGAAATCCCGGAAGAAGTTCCGCTGGAAGACCTCGCTCTGGCCGTACTCGGTGTTCAGCTCCAGTGCGAAGAAGGTGGCCACCTCCTCGACCATCGGGTCCAGAGAGATCGGCTGGCCATCGTAGATGAGTGGAACATTGTGAGGAATGTAGGCAGGCGGGAAAACCACGCCATTGTGCTCAAGGGTATCCCACCGGCGCTCGATGCCGACCACGTGCGGGCAGAGGTCCTCGGCAAGGGATTCCGGAGTGCCTGGGGTTTTTGCACTGTCGGCACCAGGGCCAGGGCCCATGCCGCTGCCGGTGTTAGGAGTGCCAGCGCCGGCGCTGGCAGGAGACAGCATTTGTGAAGGAGAAGCAGCCGGCGACTCGCCGCCCGCTGGACAGGGAGATGAGGCAGGCGAGGGGCTCGGCGAGGGGGATGACGAGCAGGGCGAAGGAGAGGCCGAGGAGGAGGAGGAGGAGGAGGAGGAGGCCAAACAGGCAAACCCAGGTGAGGGGGGCAGCGATCCGGCCGGACTGTTGGGCCGCAGCGGGGCAATGTCACTCTTGTAGACGACCCCCTCCGGATCGGCGTCCACATCGGTCGCACGAAAGTACTTGTTGCCTATCCCATGGGCAATGACCTCCTCGCCGGTCACCTCATTTCGGATCAGCAGCCGGCTCTTGGGAGCATCCTTCGCCCGGGGTGGTGGCGGGGGAGGAGGCTTCGTTGGGGGCCAGACGAACTCCTTGGCTCGGGACTTCCGGGGCTTTGGGGTCCGCCGGGAGGTTGGGGTTCCAACGGCCAGGAGCAGCTTGCATGCCGGGCCGGCCGGGCAGAAATCCACCGGGAAGACCGCCGGCGAGCTACGCGGGGACAGGGTGCCAGGCGTAAACATGGTGGCCGGGCTGGAGCTGGCGGCCCGGCCACCAGTGCGGAGCCGTTGCACCGGCGGCGGGGGGAAGTCCGGCGTCACGCCATCTGCCAGGAGGGACGAGTCCCCAGACGTTCCAGAAGGGGTGGTGCACAGCGCAGCGGCAGCCGCGGCCGAAGTGGCCATGGGAGATGGTGACACCGAGCTGCGACCCGGCCCGGGGCTGGGGATGCTGGCACCAAGACCCGGACTGAGGCCGGCCGGACCGGGGGACGGGGCTGACAAAGGCGACGAGGTGTCCGGTGTCCGAGCTGCAAGCGACGCGCCGAGACCCGGCCGCATTGAGGATGGGCCATCCGCTGTGGCGACTGACGGCGACAGGACCGTGGCCTCAGCCAGCGAGGTGGGCAGAGACTTGATCTTGGCGGCTGAGGCCGGCCCCGTCGAAGGTATCCCCGGCTCGAGGAGGGATCTTCCCGACAGCGACAGCACTTGTGCCAAAGGGAGGACATCCATGCCAAGGTCGGTCAAATTGCCGCTGAGCAGGCCGTCAGCACTGCCACCAGAGGCCGGGAACTCACTTTTGATGGCCACCATCCCGGTGGCCGGCAAAACCGCCGGATCAGTGGGCGTCGGGGGCAAGGCTCCGGCGGGGGGGATCGGCTCGCCAGGTGAAGGGAGCAGGACTCCCGGAGGCGGAGTCGCCAGGGGCGAAGAGTGGATGCTCCCCGGGGTGGAGGGACTGGGGGCCGGCAGAATCGCCGGCATCAGAGGGGATACGCCAGACTGGCTGTCAGATCCCGGGGTAGATCCCAGGAGGGGGCTGGTGCCTTTGCCACGATCACCACCTTCGGCAGCCATGCTGGCTGACGGGGTAGTGGGAGCCATGGATGAGAGGGATAGAGGTGCCAGGCGTGCCATGGCCGCCGGAGGGGCTCGGCCAAAAGCGCCAATTCCCACTCCTGGTACCGGGGGGGAAGAGGAGGTTGCGACGGTCGGCGATGCAGATGTCCGACCAAGTGAGAAGGGCAGGCGCCCGGCCAGGGCATTGCCCAGACCGGTGCTGGAGGCCGGGGTCCGAGCCGATAAGCCTTGGAAGGATGGTCCAAGAGCTGTGATGGGGGCATTGGAACCGGTGGTCATCAGAAGGGGACTGCCAGCCGGGACATCGGTTGTTGAGGCAGCTGCAGCCAGCGACAGGAGGTCACGAGCCGAGGGTCCCGAGGGAGGGGTTTGTGTCGGGGGCATTGGGCTGGCGCCCGAGAGAAAGACAATAGGAGGAGCTGAGCTACCCGGGGCAGGGTCAACCGACGGGCGCAGCCCGCCAAGTAATCCCCGAAGCCCGGCCAACTGGGCCGGAGCCTATGGTTGCCAGGTGGATGTGTGAATCGTGTGAGCATGTTGTGCCTGAGTGGGGAGGTGTTCCAGAAAAAAATTGAAGCCATGTGTGCGGTGTGTGTGTGTGTGTGTGTGTGTGTGTCGGAGGGGGCGGGAGGTACAACATCAAGATGTACATACCTGGCGCGGATCACCCAGAGAGAGGCGGGGGCGCTTGGATGGATACTCATCGGCACTGTCCAGATCGGAGTGGTCACTCATGACAACCGCCGGCTTTCAGAGTGGCCTTCTCCTCTGAAACAGATCACAAGGAGAGCCCGGGAGAGGAGATAGAAAGGGAGGGAAGTGGGAGGCGGGGAGGATGGGGCAGCCAGGGGTCTCACACGAAGGGACCGGCACTATCCAGCATATGTGGCAAGCGGCCACGTGTGATCTCTTGGAAAGCGCCCGGGCTACCTGGCTGCGAAAAAGGCCCAGGCTGCAGCAGAGGAGATGACGAGGCGGCGGTGGGGAGGCGAGGACACCTCGAAGACAGAAGGGGGCGAGGAGAGAGGTGGGGCGGAGTGGAGGAGAGGGGAGGGGCGCAAAAGGGGCGCGCGAGCGCGCACAGGGCGGGCAGCGGAGGTGGGGAGTGGATGAGTGTGGGTGCGCGTCCCCCCGGGCAAGCCGGGGAGTTGCCTGGCAATGGCACCTCTTGGGTTGGAGGGGGCAAGCTCGACCGGTGGGCCGGGGCGGGGGGGGGGGGGGGGGAGGATCCGGCAACCGGCGCGAGAGGGGAGGGCGGGCTTGCGCCGTGCTTGCTGCCTCCTCGGGTCGGCTTCCCGCCAAAGAGGCCAGCCGCGCGCCGCCAAGACACACGCGGGGTACGGCGCAGGAACGCCTGCCTCGTGGATGGGGACCTCCCTTCCCACCGAAAGGGGGGAGCATATTCTCAGAGGGGGCTGGGCGTGTGTTCTCGCGGGACCGGCGCCACGCGCCTCACAGCCGGGATCCATCGGACAACCCAGTGTGTGCTACACAGTGTTGACTTTGTGTTCGGTCGGGGGGTGGGCCGCGCTTTTGGCATCCACACGGGGCCTACACCAGGGGAGACTATTCCCCTGAGAAGTGGGGGTGGCAAATTCGCGCCCTCGAGGGAAATGGTCCCGAGTACCCGCTGGCCGCAACTCGTGCAAGGGTCAGCCCGTGGCGAGGGGCGGGGCGGGGCGGGGCGGGGCGGGAAGCCTGTGCTGGCTTCCCGCCCAAGTGTGAGCTCCGATGTTCGGCGGGGGCGGGGGGCGGCCCGGCCCTATGACGAACCCTGCTGTGTCGATGCGTTGGTAGTTTCATATGCCGGCGCTTGCCATTAACCTTCTGTTAGAACCTGCCCGGGCTATTGGCGGTGGTGGAGGGGAGGGCTGAGATTCGGCATGCTGAGATCGCAGATCTGCGGGCAGTAATTTTCGGTAGACAAGTCTCGACCGGGGCCAGGGTTCCGGTCTGGAAAGAAAAAAGGCCAGCGGACAAGGCGAGGCGAGAAAGAAGGGGAAAAAAAGGGAGCACGCAGGCATCCTCAGCCGTGGGGGGTTCCGCTGGGACAATCCCCCGAGCTGCGGGGGTTTCTGGCGCGAGAGAAAGGCCACAGACGTGTGTCTGGTGGATTTCGCGCCCGGGTAGTGGCCGGGAAAAAACCCCAGCAACAGCGGCAGCAGGAGCAGGAACAGCAACAACAGCAGCAGCAGCAGCAGCAGCAGCAGCAGCAGCAGCCCACGCGTCGATGAGAAAGTGTTCAAGTGTATTTTTAATGTGCACACAACAATAGGAGACACCAAATACACGGAGATGTGTGGAAATGTGTGTGGAGGACACCTCTCTAGGGTCATATTGGGGGGGGGGGAGGGGACATTGCCCAGAGCCCAGTGGCAGCGCCACGAACAGGCGACACTGGTCCTCTGCCGAAGGAGGAGGAGGGTGCGAGGGGGTGATTTCTCGCCGAGGCGCCGCCAGACTTTCCTTTCTCCCTTCTGGGCCCGCCCCCCGCATGCTGCGCGCACCGTGCGCGTCCGCATTCAGGGGACATAAAGGGAAAAGTAGAGGAGGTGGGGGAAACGCAGGCGCACCATCGTCACCGCCCCCCTCCCGTCCAGGGCCAACCACCTTTCCTCCAAGCCGAAACCCCCCCCTCCCCCCCCCCCCCTGTCGCCCTCTCACCAAGAGACAAGAGGGAGAGAAGGGGGGAGAGACAGAGAGACAGAGAGGAAGGGGAGAAGACCATTAGGCCTCGCCGTAGCTCTCCATCGGGGGGCAGGTGCAGACAAGGTTCAGGTCACCGTAGGTGTCGTCAATGCGGGACGTGGTGGGCCAGAACTTGTTGGTCTTGGTGGAGGAGGTGGGGAAGGCCGCGGTCTCACGAGAGTAGGACCGATCCCAAGTGTCGGAGGTGACCGTGGCCGCGGTGTGCGGCGCGCGCTTGAGAGCATTGTCGGTGCGGGAGACATCGCCACGCTCGATGGCAGCAATCTCCTCGCGGATGGCAATCAGAGCATCGCACAGGCGATCCAGCTCGGCCAGGGACTCGGACTCGGTCGGCTCGATCATGAGGGTGTTGACCACGGGCCAGGACATGGTGGGGCTGTGGAAGCCGTAGTCCTGCAGACGCTTGGCAATGTCGATGGCCTCGATGCCGGAGGTCTCCTTGAGCGGGCGCGCATCGATGATGAACTCATGGGCGCACTTGCTGTTGTGGTTGCGGTAGAGGATGGAATAGTGGTCCTCCAGGCGCTTGGCCATGTAGTTGGCGTTGAGGATGGCGGTCTCGGTCGACTGGCGCAGGCCATTGGGACCCATCATGCGGATGTAGGCCCAGGGGATCGGCAGGATGCTGGCCGAGGAGTAGGGAGCCGAGGCCACCGGACCCGGGGACTTGGACCCGCCGAAGCCCGGAAGCAGCGGGTGATCCGGGAGGAAGGGCTGCAGGTGGGCCTTGACACCGATGGGACCCATGCCCGGGCCACCACCACCATGCGGGATGCAGAGGGTCTTGTGCAGGTTCAGGTGGACAACATCCGCGCCATAGTCACCCGGGCGGCAGATGCCCACCTGGGCATTCATGTTGGCGCCATCCAGGTAAACCTGGCCACCGTGACGATGGACAACCTGGCAAACATCACGAATGCCAGCGTCGAAGACACCGAAGGTCGAAGGGTAGGTGACCATGATGCAGGAAAGGTTGTCCGCATGCTTGGCAGCCTTCTCGGCCAGGTCCTCCATATCCAGCTCGCCGGTGGCCGGCAGGCACTTGACCGGGACAACACGCATGCCGGCCATCATGGCCGAAGCGGGGTTGGTGCCGTGAGCCGACACCGGGATCAGGCACACATCACGATGGGCCTCGCCACGGGACTCGTGGTAGCCACGGATGGCCATCAAACCGGCGTACTCGCCGTTGGCGCCGGAGTTGGGCTGCAGGGACACGGCATCGAAGCCGGTGATCTCGGCCAGATCGGCCTCCAGCTCGCGGAAGAGGTTCTGGTAGCCCTTGGCCTGGGCCGGGGGGGCGAAGGGGTGGATGGAGTTGAAGCCGGGCATGGTGACCGGAACCATCTCCGAAGTGGCGTTCAGCTTCATGGTGCACGAGCCGAGAGGGATCATGGCATGGGTCAGGGACAGGTCCTTGGCCTGGAGCCGGTGCAGGTAGCGCAGCATCTCGGTCTCCGAGTGGTAAGAGTTGAAGACCGGATGCTCGAGGAAGGGAGTGTTGCGAGTGAGCTTGCCCGAGGAGGAGGGGGTCATGTCGGCGAGGGAGCCAATGCCAGCGGCGGCGGCGGCCTTGTCCATGCACAGGTCCTCGCGGTCGGAGAAGAGCTGGGCCAGGTTGCGCAGGCGGCGCTTGGTGGTGGTCTCATCGAGAGACACCGAGACATGCTGCTCGTCGACCACGCGGATGTTGATGCGGGCGGCGTTGGCGGCCTCGGCCACAGCGGCGGCGGTGGTGCCATCGCGCAGACGAATGGTGATGGTGTCGAAGAAGCCATCGCCAGAGGTGGTCACGGTGTGGCCGGCCTCGGTGACAACATGAGCCAGGGTCTTGGCCAGGGCGTGGATGCGCTGGGCAATCTGGGTCAGGCCATCGGGGCCGTGGTAGACGGCGTACATGGCAGCCATGTTGGCCAGAAGGGCCTGGGCGGTGCAAATGTTGGAGGTGGCACGCTCACGACGGATGTGCTGCTCACGGGTCTGCAGGGCCAGGCGGAGGGCGGGGTTGCCGTCGACGTCGCGCGACACACCGACCAGGCGGCCGGGCATGCGACGCTTGAGCTTGTCAGTGGTGGCGAAGAAGGCGGCGTGGGGGCCACCGAAACCGAGGGGAACACCGAAGCGCTGGGTAGAGCCAAGGCAAATGTCTGGCGCGAGTGGGCAAAGGGGTGGAAAGAGAGCGAGCGAGGGGGGGGGGGGGGCGGGCGGGGAGAGAGCGGGCGAAGCAGAAAGGCAAGGGTGGAGGGAGCGAGCGAGCGAAGAGGAGAGGAGCGTCAGAGAGGATGTGGCACATGAGGTACATGGGACATGGAGAAGCAGGGAAAGAGGAAAAGAAGGGGAAAAGAAGGCAAGTGAGTGGGAGAGGGGACGCACCGGCGCCAAACTCGCCCGGGGCCTTGAGCAGGGTGAGGGCCATGAGGTCGGAGGCGACGACGAAGAGGCCACCATGGTTCTTGACAGTGGTAGAGAAGCTCTCAAAGTCCTCGATGGTACCATCCATGGCCGGGTACTGGACCAGGGCGCCACACAGGTCGTCGGCGATGGTGCTCATGTCGAAGGTACGGAAGTCACCGACGACGACGTTCACGTTGAAGGGAGCCGCACGGGTCTTGACAACGGCAATGGTCTGGGGGAAGGTGTTCTTGTCGATGAAGAAGGTCTTGCGACGCTGTGTCGGACACACAAAGGGCAGGAGGGGAGGGCGGATGGGAGGGGGGGAGGGACATTAGAGCGGATGGGAGGGAGGGGCGGGGGGGGAGATGCCGAGGTAGCGACAATCGGGAGAAGAATGGGGGGAGAGGGGGGGGAAAATGGACGCACGCCGTTGGACTGGGCATGGGCCATCATCATGGCCTCAGCAGCGGCGGTACCCTCATCCAGGAGCGAGGCGTTGGCAATATCCATGCCGGTCAGGTCGGTGACCATGGTCTGGAAGTTGAGCAGCGACTCAAGGCGGCCCTGGGAGATCTCGGCCTGGTAGGGGGTGTACTGGGTGTACCAGCCGGGGTTCTCCATGATGTTGCGGAGGATCACCTGCGGGGTGAGGGTGTTGTAGTAGCCGAGGCCGATGTAGTTGTCGAAGATCTCGTTCTGGGAAGCATACTCCTTGGCGAGGGCGAGGAGCTCCGACTCGGTCATGGCCTTGGACTGTGGCAGAGGAGGGGGTGGGGGTGGGGGAAGGGGCAAAGGGTGGAGAGGACCGGGGTTTGGCGGGGGGGGGGGGGGGGGGGGGGGGGGGGGGGGGGGGGGGGGGGGGGGGGGGGGGGGGGGGGGGGGGGGGGGGGGGGGGGGGGGGGGGGGGGGGGGGGGGGGGGGGAGGGGGGGGGGTCGGGGAGGGGGGCGGGGCGTGGGGGGGGGGGGGGGGGGGCGCGAGGGGGCGGAGGGGGGGGGGGGGGGGCGGGGCCCCGGGGGGGGGGGGGGGGGGGGGGGGGGGGGGGGGGGGGGGGGGGGGGGGAACACGGGCCCGGGGAAACACAGGCGGCTCGTCGAGCAAGCCCGTCGCAGGTCCTGCCTCTCATCGTTGGGCGCAAGCAGTGCGGCGCGGCGCGGGAGCCCGGGTCGCGGTTTCCCCCATCCCTAGGGTCAATAGTGGCTCGGCCCGGGAGGGGGCTAGCTCGCACGGGAGAGGGCCGTGGGGTTGGTCCGGGTGGCCGCAGCGTGGGCAGCAAGGCCGGGACGCCGGCCGTCATGGACACCAGACTACGTTAGGCAGCAGGGGCGGCGGAAAGTTAGCCCCGCCCGGCGGCCGCCCCTGTCCGGGGGAGGGGGGGAGGGCGGACTGAGGACGGGACTTGGGCGGCTCTCCACGTCCCGGGGCGCACCACATCCTGACGCCAGAAAAAAAAAACCACGGGCGAGGATGGTCTGACTACGGTGGCCTCGCGGATTCGCCCCCTCCCCCCCCCCAGTGCGAGGTGGGCGCAGGAGCACAATGAGTAGCGAGGGGGAGGGGGGCAGGGCAAAAGAAGCTGCCTCCTCGGCCGATGGAGCGCCGACCCCGCGACCGCGCTCCCTGCCGGCAAGGAGAAAGCGCGAAGGAAAAGCCCCTCCGGGTGCTCCTGCCCAAGTCGATCGTTGCGCTCGCGCCCGGCAACAAACGAGATCTCAGGGCTGGGTCCCCTCTCCCGGGGATGTGTGGGCGAGAGGGTGCAGGGGGAAGGGGGGGGGGGTCTTCCAAGCACAAAGATGGTACTTGGGACCTCGCGGCCAAGCCCGCCGAGGCTTTGTTGTGGGTTGAACCCACCATGCCGGCCGAGAGAGGGCGATTACCGGCCAGCCGCGATGTACGTTGTATTCCTTGGCACCCTGGTTAGTCGCCACACCGCCCGGTGCCCAGTCTTGCCCCCCCCCCCCCCTCCCTCCCCCGGCCTCCCCCGGCCTGCCCCGTCCTCTCGCCCTTTCGTCCTCTCGCCCTTTCGTCCTCTCGCCCTCTCGCCCTCTCGCCCTTTCCCATCTCATCATCCGCAAGGAAAGGGCAGGATGGTCGATCAAGTTAGGACAAGTGCCAATGCATGGGTGCATCTGGCGAGGCAGGCAGGATTTCTGTGTGGGGCGGGGGGGGGGGGAGGCCAGCGCCGTGGGGTCCGCCGGGCCTTAATATCGATGAGTGAGGGGGCGGAAGAAGGACCGAGCGGGGGGGGGGCGGGGTCGCGCTTGCGTGTGGGGCGGCGTGTGCGCGCGCGCGCGCGAGAGGAGGGCCGACAGCAGACGCGCAAACCGCAGCCGGCAACACGTGTAAAGTAGGCCGCTTCTTTTATGTGGGCCCCCTTGTCTTGTGCGGTTGGGTGGGACCGCGAGAGCCCGCCGCAGCATGCCCATTTCCCTCGACGCGGGTGGGGCCCTGCTGTTGCTTTTCGGGAGGAAACTTTGGAAAACGAAAGACAACTGCGAGGGGGCTGGAAATATTCCGACAGTCGGCCCTGCTCGAACACCACCAAACAAACACGACCCAGTTACAGGTGTGCCTCTGCCAATGGAGTGACCAGGAAGCGGGACCGCCGAGGGGGGGGGGGGGGGGGCTGCGGGGGGGGGGCTGGGGGCGCGGGGGGGGGGGCGGGCGCGGGCGCGGCAAGGCGGAGCGCCGGCCGGTGCCTGTCGAGCTGCTTCCCCGTCCCCCCGGCTGCCTGGCCGCCGGGCTGCATCATCCGCGGCCTTCACGCGCGGCAGCCGGACCGAGCGATGCCCACTGGCGGGGGCCCCGCGGGGGGGGGGGGGGGTCGAGGGAGGGACCTGGGGCGCAGGTGGCCGGAAGTACTGCCGGGCGGAGGGGGCGAGGGAGCTCCAGATCCCTCTCATTCCGCAACTCTACGCTCCCACCGTCGGAGCGAGTGAGAGAAGGCGGTCGGGAGGAAGGCGGCCACTGAGGCCAGTGCCGGGGACCAACTAGCTGACATGCGGGGCCATGGCCCGAGATAATGGCGTTTTATCCGTGACCGCCCTGGGTGCTGATATATGGGTCCCGTGTGCATTGTGTCGCTGTGTCACACGGTGTTCAGGTGGTGGCCCGCGGGAGATGAATTCCGGGAACCGGGCAGTTCAAAGGGGGCCCCCGGTCCAACACGCCGCCCACTTCGGGCGACACGGGGGGGGGGGGGACTGCATGGGGCGGGGTGTCTGACTGTGAGAGTGAGTGTGTTCGGGGAGGGGAGGGGGGGGGGGGGCATCAAACGCCAGTCGCCTTGCCCGGAGAGATGGGTGCGCCACACAAGCAATGTGGTGCTCTTCCAGGGAGCGGGGCCTGGAATGTATCTTCGGTAGACCGGACTTGCGACTCTTCTCGAGCCGGCCTGTGTGCGTGTGCTCCGTGTGCGTGTGCTCCCCCCCTCCCTACCGAGGCGGGGCCAGTGTCAACCCTGTTGCCAGTTGCGGAATGTCCAGGCCGCCCGCGCCACACGCCCGTCCCCCCCGACACGTATCGGCCCCCGAATGTCATGTCCAGCCTTCGAGGCTGGGGTGCAAAGGGGCGGGCTGGCCTGGGAGTAATGCCGGCCGGGAGGATGGGGCACGCCGGCCGCTGGGCTCCCGGCGTGGGCTTGGGGCTGGCCCCTCCGAGAAAAGTGGCAAACACTCTGCGTTCCAGCAGACGCGTGCCGAGTTGTTGGCTCCTGCCTGTTCCCAGCGGACATCGCCCGGGAGGTATTCACGCCGTCTTTCCCCGTCCCCCCGCCCGCGCGCCCGCCCCCTGGCCCGGGCTTCCGGTGAATACCTTTACACCATTCGAGGGCTCCGTCGGTAGTTGCCCTTGGGTGCCTCTCCGGGCACTCGGGTTGAGGCGGCGTGCGCATGCTTGGGGGGGGGGGGGGGGGGGGGGGGGGGGGGGGGGGGGGGGGGGGGGGGGGGGGGGGGGGGGGGGGGGGGGGGGGGGGGGGCGTTCGGGTTGCAGGGGGCAGGCATGCCCCGGGAAGGCGGGCGCGGCCGGCCGGGGCGGGGGAGGCCCGGCGCTTTGGGAGGGTGGTGCTCCGGGGCCGACCGCCGGCGTCAAGCTCGGGACGGCCATCCCACTTCGCATGGATGTCCACGAGAGGGGCGCATGTGGGGCGCCCTCGTGCGTTGGACCGCAAGAGGGGCACTGGAAGCAGGGCGACCGGGCGAGAGCCCCCCCCCCCCCCCCATATGAGGGCCTCTCTCGGCGCCGGCCCGCGCGCAGGCGCCTCAACACGCGCGGCGCCCCGGCGGACATTGGCCATGTGCATTCCCTCCCCCGGGACCGTCCTCGCAGAGGGCCACCTGGCGGCGACCCGGCCGGGTGCAGGGGAAAGAGGCCCGGGGGAATATCAGCCTGGTGCATTCCCCCCCCCCGGTTGAACCCCCCGTCTGGACTCACAGCACGCCCGAGGGCGGGGCTCGGGGCCGGGCCGGCAGACAGGGCTCGAGCGGCATTCGAATCGCCTGGAAGGCGCCGCGAAGGGGACAAAAGCCCGGCACTCCGGCGCGCGCCAGGCCGGCCGACATTCAAGCCGGCGAGCGGGCGGCCCCGGGCCATTCCCCCTGGGCGAGCTGCAAGCCCCTCGCCACGACAGGGCGCCGCGAAGGCCGCTCGGACCAGAAGGATCGAGACATCCCAATCCTCCCTTGGTCAGGGGAGAACACCGAAAGGAGGGGGGGGGGAACGGGGGCGGGGCGGGGGCCCTCCGGGCTACAGTGAGGATGCCGCCAAAGGTGCCGACAAGCGACGCCCCGGGCGCGAGAGTCGGCATCGGCCTCCGACGGTCGGACAGGGCGGACCCGAGCAGGAGACGAACTGCCGCGTCTCGACCGTGTCAAATCCAGCCCGGATATGTGGACGGGCACGTTAGGAGACGCGGGGCATCTCCGGGCTCACGGGCCTGGGGCCCTCTCCTGTCTCCGGGAAGGTGCGCAAGCGCACGACGTATTCCCTCCTGGACGGGGACACACCCCCGCCATCATCCACCCCCCCTCCCCCCCATTCAGGGGGCCGGCATATGTGCTCGCCGGTCGGCACCGGGCTCCGGCCCAGCCTCGGCGGGCGTGAGGGCGCCTCCTCGCGGGTGCCTTTGCTGATGCCACCGAAATCCAAGCCCGGGTGCTCCGGGGGAGGGAGTCGCGCCTGGAGGAAAGGACCTCAAGGCCTGCGACACATCGCACGACCCCTTTGGTGGTGTGCGGCCTCAATAAGGCGCAATAAAGGGCGAATATTAGAGTCGGGTTTTTCGGAGAACCGTCTGAATTATGGGCTGCGATCGAAATGGACGGTCGGACGCAGGCCCCCACACCCGGCCGGGGACTCTCGCCCTGCCGGGCGGGGAGGCGCGGGTCAGGGGGGCGCCGGGAACGATGCGGTGCCTCGGGCTCTTGTTCGCTTCGCCTGGCTATTCCGGCGGCCCCCGGCCGCTCCCTGTGTATGGCCGCCGCCCAGGGGACGGTTCGGCGAGGTCCCGGCCGGCGAGAGGCGGGGCCCGCCGCGCCGGCAGCCCGGTGCCGGGCAGCCCGGCACCGACATTGTGGCGCCGCGAACGTGCGCATCTGAGCCCGCGGACACACCGACGGCGCGAACAGCTGGCTGAACGGGGCCTCCCGGGGGACGGGGCGGAGGGAAAGCGGGCTGGGCTGGTTCTTGTGGCGCAAGAGGACAGCCACCAATCAGGTGTAGATGGCCGCGACGTGGGGCCTCTCCCCCGGTCCCACCGTCAGACAGGACTCCCGGACCCAAGTCCCACATGACGGACACACACAAACTTGCTTGCCCGGGGGTCGCTCCGGGGTCCTTGTGGCTGCCAGGGCGTTCCCCGAAAGTCAAAGTCCGCCTTCTGGAGCCGACCTTCGCGACGCTCACCGAGTCCGGCCGGAGCCGGGCCTGGCCGGACACAGGGGCCGCGCACCCGGCGGGTGTGCCCTGCGGCGGATAGGGGGCGTCGACCGACGGCCGGGCGGGGAATCCCCCTCTGCCGGGGGACATATCCCCATCGGCACTCTGCTCGGTCTTCGTGGCAGGGCGGGGGGCGAGGGGCTGCGGGGCCTGGCCTGCTGGCCGGTCGGGAAGGGGCCGGAGGGGACGTCAACCGCCTCAGCCCATCTCGCCCAGAGTCGTTGCCTAGGCGCGCCCCCTCCCCCCCCCCCCCCGGCATGCCCCCGGATGTGGGCTCCCGCCTCCTGGTCGTCCGGTTAGGGGGGGGGGGTGAACAAGGCGGGCGCGGCTGCCCCTGCCCAGGGCGTGCGGGCCTTTGCGCCAGCATGCACGCCTCCCCCGCGGGGACGCAGCGCGCGCGCGCGCGCGGCTATAGGGGGCACACGGTGAGGGGGAACCCCTCGGCCCCCGCATCTGGGTGGTGGTGAGACAGACGGCGCCGCCGCTGTGTGTGCCCTGCTCTCGCCCCTCCCTCCCGGCATTCGTGTCGGGTGCCCTGCTCGGGCCGGGGGAGTGGGTCGGTAGGGGGGGGGGGGCGGGGCAGGCGAGGGGACAATGGGCCTCGGACGGGCTGGATCCGGGAGGTGTCGTCAGGAGGCCAGCGCGCCTCCGCCGTTGTCGGGTGACGAGCCCCGGCAGGGGGAGGGACGTGGGAGGCATTGTGCATTCGAACTTGTCCGTGCATGTGTCGACACACACACACACAAACACAGGGCGAGGGGCCGGCAGCTCCTGCCTCCACCCCTGAGGAGCCGCCCATGTAGCCCGCGCTCGGTGTCACTTAAAAGTCCGTCTCCCCGGACATCCATGGTGAAACCCCGTTACCTGCTCTTTGAAACTTGCTTGTGTGTGAGTACCGTCCCTCGCCTATTCGTTCTCTCCTCGTTCTCTCCTCGTTCCCTCCTCGCTTCCTCCTCGCTCCCCTCCTCCCTCCCCTCCTCGCTCCCCTCCTCGCTCCCCTCCTCGCTCCCCACCATGATGCCTCCCCCGCCTCTCTGCCCCACTCGCCCTCACCGCCCTAACTTTCCGTGCCCGGTCTCCCTCTCCCTCTATCTCTCCCTCTCTCTCTCTCCGCCCCCCTCGCCGGCCATAGCTGTACACTCGTTTCTAAGGCGAATTCCCTTACCACTTCAAGATGTCTCACAGCGAGGACGTTCAGAAGCGCGTGCGTGCTCCATTCCCCCCCCCTCCTCCTCCCCCCCTCGCTCCCTGTTCCATCCCTTTGTCTCCCTCCCCCTGCCCCTCACTCACTCACTCTCCCCCCCCCCTCCCCCTCCCCAACTTCACTCCACAGACCTTCACCAACTGGGCCAACAACTACCTCAACGACCGCGGTTATGAGATCAAGGACCTCTTCACCGACCTCGATGATGGTCTGATGCTGATCAACCTTCTGGAGATTATCTCCTCCAAGAAGCTTGGCCGCTACAACCGCAAGCCTTCGCTCAAGTTCCAGATGGGTGAGAACCTGACCCTCTGCTTCAGCTTCCTGGCTTCGGAGAACATCAAGCTGGTCAACATCAACAACGAGGATATCTGGGACCACAACCCGCGCCTGATTCTCGGTCTCCTGTGGACCATCATTCTGCGCTACCAGGTGAACCGCGTGTCGGCCACCGCCGAGGGCCCGGCCGCCACCAGCGCCAAGAACGCCATCCTCCAGTGGGTTTCTTCGCGCTCTCGCGAGGACGTCAAGTCTTTCTCCGACTTCAACGACGGTCGCATCCTCTCCAAGCTGGTCAACCACCTGTCTCGCCTGGCCGGCCAGGAGCGCCCCTTCGATGTGGACGCCCTCGACACCGCCGATGGCTTCGGCAACAACGATGCCGCCATCAAGAAGGCCGAGGAGGCTCCCCTTGGCATCCGCGCCCTCATCGACGCCGATGTCCTGGTCACCCCGAAGCCCGATGACATGTCCTGCATGACCTACATCTCTGCCTACATTGCCAAGGAGAATGAGCTGCTCGGTGGCCGCCCCTGGAACCCGGAGGACAGCCTGGACCTGCAGTACACCGTCTCCGGCCCGGGTGTCAGCTCCCCGGTCGACGAGCAGGCCGACACTTATGTCCTGATTCTCATCAAGGACTCCGACGGCAATGTCGTCACCTCTGCCCCGGAGGAGCAGCCCGCCTCTCCGGGCGCCACCACCGAGGGCGAGGGCTCCCCCGAGGTCCCTGCCGATGATGGTCTTACTCCCGTCGCCGCCCCGGTCTCCGCCGCCAGTGTCCAGGTTGAGGTCTTCAACCCGGAGGGTGACCAGCTGTCTGTCGCCCCGCTCCAGACCCAGGAGGATGGCCACCTGCGCGCTGACTATGCCACCGGCGACCAGGGTGGCTATGTCATCACCATCAAGGACTCCAAGGGCTCCCATGTTGCTGACTCCCCCTATGAGGTGACTGTCGGCCCGCGTATGTGCCC